TTATTCCTAAGATACAATGCTTAACACTGAACTTAATTGCCCAAACCTACTGTATACACACTAAAGAAACAAAACAAAAAGGAAAAGTTCTATATTAAAGTTTATATATGCACTAATATTGGTGCCAAGCAACACTTAAGAGAGACACAAACCTTGAAGAACAGACATCTTTTTTCAAGTCCCATATTAAAGTTTGAATTTGATTTTGAACAATTAACAAAAAACCGTCGCAATTTGCAAACTGTTTCATTTTCAACTTTTCTTCTTGTTTTATTTCTCCTTTTATTCTTTTCGTTGGCCAAACCATATGGTCTTGTTTAATTTCTTTCATTCCTTCTAATCCTGACTACAAGTTCCCTAAGCAAAACATTCAAGCAAAGAATAGCACATACCCCTAAGCCAACAGCTCCAAGTCCAAAAACAGCCACACTTGATCCTTTCTCAACCTGAGCTTCCTTCCAAGCTGCCCCAAATCCAGTTGAAAATCCACATGAAAGGACACAAGCATGTGAAAGATCCAAGACTGGATCAATCTTAAGTGCATTATTTACATTAACAACCATGTACTCAGACCATGTTGAGCAGCACAACGAGTGGCTCAAACGCTGGCCTCTCACAGACATTCTAGATGTGCCATCAAGCATTAAGCCACTCAAGTTTAAAGGGTATGTTAGGCATACATTTGTGTTTCCAGATTGACAGTTCTCACATCTCTGACACTCAGCCATGTAGACTGGAATCACAGTATCTCCTGCCTTTATTTCTGTCACTCCCTCTCCGACGCTCTCAACCAATCTGCAATTGTATCAACTAGCAAGTATTCTTTAATCTCTTTATAAAGCAAAATTACTAAATAAGAACTGTATATATTAAAAAAAAATTCAATTGGCATTCATTTGCTAAGTTAAATATTCATCTAAAATTTTTCTTTTAAAAAAGGTCAAAATCAAATTAAAACTATTATTGTTCAACTGAGGGAGTAGATGTTTTTCTTCCAATCTTACCTTATTACAAGTCCCTACTAACCGAATTTTATGTTGTTCAAAAAATCATGTCCATACTAACCTCAAACGCTTGGGTTTTAAAGTTATTAAAGGTAAAAATAGGATTTCAAGCAAAAATTCCTCAATCTAGAAACCTCAAACTTAATAACAATAATAATAATAAAACAAAAGTTCCTAAAGCCTAAAATATTTGGTCAAAAAGGTTGGTATATAAACAAACAATTTCCCTTAGAATTGTGCTTTTGTCCCTATTTTTAATTTCTGAAGTTAATTTCTCTCTTTTTTCCTTAAAAACTTGCAGTCAACCAGTTACCATAGACCAGTCTGCATAACTAAACTAATGTAAGACATCTAAAGGAATTTATGTCCAACACTAGTATGTAAGGAGAAAAGAAAAACTTTATTAAATACTTGACTGATACATTACCCGACACCTTCATGTCCAAGAACTCGAGGGAAAAGGGGCTGAAATGAGGCAAAAAGTTAATGAATATGCAGAATCCAACTGAGTTAAACTACACGAAAATAGTCATAAATTAAACAGAAAAACAAGCCTAAACCACTAGGGAATAAAAAAACTAACAGCAGGGAATCCTTTGGCGAAGAGCAAATCAGTGTGACAGACACTGGCATATAGCATTTTAACTCGAATTTCAGAAGATTTTGGTGGCTCTACTTGAATCTCTTCCATCTTAAGTGGCTCGTCCGCCCCCCAACATACCACCGCTGCACCAAAACAGTATTCCCAGAGTAAAATAAACAGAAGTTCCCAGCTGGGTTTTGATAAGAACAAAAAAATATTTCTTTCCTTTCACCCTTTCGTGTAGGTCTGAAAAAAAAAAAAACAGATCAAACGGCTCTAGTGATCTAATTGTTGGTTCCAAGTGTTAGCACTTGGCTTGACTTGGTTTGAAAGTTCAACTCTACGAAGGACTTTAAAACAGGTTAATCTCCTAACTTTGTCCATCAACTATTGTAAGGATTTCTTATTTGATTTATGAACTTAAATAATCTCTAATTTAGTCATTAAAGTTTGAAAATTTGGTTATCTTTTTGGTTTCTTCATTAAGTTTTTGCACATGATGCCGTTTAATTAACAAAAACTTCATATTTTTTCATTCAAATTGATTTGTGGATATTCAAATTTCAAACTAGTAAAAAGTGTGAAAATAATTCATTTTATAGAGTTGATGGATTTAAAAAAATATTAAAAATAATTTTAGAACAAAATAATGTTCAAGGTGATAAGGTAAGGAACTAAAATTGATAAATATAGGGAAGATTATAGAATAACCTTGATAGGATAAAATCAAAAGAGTAAAAGATTCATATTCATGAAAAATGGGCGTTTGGATGCCCACAGAAGACAATTCGATTGACGATTTCTGGAGATCGGTAAAGCCCATTCCTAGAGGAGTAATTGAGGAAAATTTCATAGAAAATATGCAGAGGATCTTGATCGCAACCATAAAGAACCCAATAAGCCCCCAAACCTCAACTTAGATAGGAGGAGAAAGGTAGATATTTTCTCCGTAGTTCCCTTCCTCCTTGTCCTTAATTCGGAGTCATGGGACTTCTCCTTGGGTGGTGCTTGACAGATTATGAAGGACGAAATCACAAGCTAAGACTAGAAAAACAAAACAATGACTTGCTAATCTTTGCTAATTGGATTAGAAACAAAAAAGAAAGAAAAAAATGTTTTGTAATTTAAATTATATTAAATTATATAATATTAATTATTAAAACAAGCAAACTTTCTTAATAATAGAAAGGGTTCCATCAATTAATGTTTTATAATTAAATATAATTTAAATTATAAAATATTAATTTAAAAAAATAAAAAAATTATATAATTTAAATAACATCAAATTACATAATTTAAATGTAAAATAAAAGATGAACCCTAAACATTAAGAGTTACAATCTATTGGATCTTGTTTTGCCGCCACACAAATTCTCAAAACAAAAGGCCAGGAAAACTAAAAAGGTAAAGTTA